GACAATTCGATCCTCATATATATATATAACTTTAATCAGTATTCGAGTCGAATACAAATTTTGCAATGAGCGATATAAACAATTAAACGTTACATCCTAACTCTTTCCTTATCATTGACCAAAATTCATCGGTTTAATTTAATTTCAATTCTATATCGAATAAGAAAATATTCTTTGCAATCGAGAAGTTTCTATATTTATTAATCGACATTTATACAAGCTGATCTAATATTTATAAAGGATATTAATTTGATATCCGTTCAAACCTTGTTTACGACGTACTTAATCCCATCACTAGCGGTCAGGAATTCTTTGCAACCGAGAATTAAGTTTCTATATTTATTAATCGACATTTATACAAGCTGATCTAATATTCATAAAGGATATTTGATATCCGTTCAAACGTTGTTTACGACGTACTTAATCCCATCACTAGCAGTCAAGAATTCTTTGCAACCGAGAATTAAGTTTCTATATTTATTAATCGATATTTATACAGGCTGATCTAATATTTATAAAGGATATTAATTTGATCCGTTCAAACCTTGTTTACGATGTACTTAATCCCATCACTAGCGGTCAGGATACGATGCTTCGGGGTTCATAAGCGCAGAGACCTATCGCGAAACGGGTCGTAATGGATCCGCGAGTATCCCGTAGACGTTGAACGAGGGCAATGTCGGTTCGTTCGTACCTACGGACACTTAATTAATTCACTTTGCGCCGGACTACCCGTTTGTAATGTGGGATAGGGGCAGCCTAAGAACCCCGAGGCAGTAATTGATTCAAATGCTTCGAGGGTATTACGGTCGCGGAAGACGGTGTGCGTGGATCCCAATATCAGCCCATCCAAACCATCCCCGGGTGTTAAGTGTGACGTATGCGACTTGTTTGCGCATTTGCGTGTCTCTCAGATTGAGATATGAATCGCGTCGCATATGGGGGTGCTTTTTATCTCATTCTTGGAAAAATTGTTCTTGGAATTCTTGTGCGAGGAATTCGACATGGGTGAGGAAAATATCTATTCTTACAATATTATCTTGAAATGATTATGAATATATTTGAAGTTTTATTTGTTAAGCAAATTACAATAGTTATTCAATTGTGATATTTTAATTCTTTTGGTTGTTTTAATTCGTGTTAAATTTTCCCCAGCTCAGGAAGAATATGTGATGGAAGGAATTTAGATCGATAGAAGAGGATGGATGGAGAGGAATTTGAATCTCGAATGGTTTCTTTTAAGAAACTATGTAAATTGAATAACTCTACTTGAAAGATAGCTTTCTATCTATTCTGAAGGAATCTATTAGAAATTTAAATCTTCGAATATTTTCAGATATTCAAAAGCAAAAGAAGAAAGAAATATTAATGAATAATATTTCTAAATTAAATTATTTCAATATTTTAACATCGATTTTATTCCACAATTTCCTTTTCCAAAAATAACTTTAAACGAAGAATAAAGATTATCAATCGTAACAAATAATACAAATATCAAAGAGAATCAAACGTTTTACCTAATTTCTTCCACCTAGAAAAATTCTTATCTTCTCCAAATAATTCACATAATTAAACGATTCCGTTTACCCAAAGAAGAACCACGATATCAGTCATCGATGCGTACCCTCTATCAGGATCTCCTGGCCAATATCAATGAGTCAGAAATTGGACCGTAGTAACCGTTTCGAAGGGAGGCTAGAGATACCATCAGGATAGGAGTTTCGCATCAAAAGGGTCGTTACAAAGGGCGAAATCGCAACGTGCCTCCCATAATACCGCGTGATGCATGAATTTAATTAAGTAATTATACAGAACAGTCTCTCCTCTACATTAATCTTCTTTTTCTTCTTCTTCTTCTATTTTCATCCACGACCTACCCTCTCCTTCGTCTTTCCATTATACTGGAAAATTTTCATAGCCACGAAACATTTGCAAAAGTTCTCCAAAACGAATCGCAGAGACCATCGTTTCAACAACGATTCTTTTCATCTTGGGATCTCTTTACACAGTGGGCAAAAGGGTGGAAGTGATTTTTGCACGGATAGTGGCTTTAATGCCGCTATTTTATTTATCTTGTCGCATCGAGAAGTGATAAAAGAAATGGAAAGAGTTAGTATATTTACTTTATTCATTTTTGTATTACTTTATTATTATTTTTCTTTTATTAACTGATTGGAATATCTTTAATTCCTGTTGTATATATGTAATATTAATTACAAAATATAAAATATACTATACATTTTTCTTTTCTCAAAAAAACATATTTTTATTAATAATCGATGAATAATGAATTTTATTTGTTCATTTAATCGTGTAATCATAAATTTCAAAATTTTCAACTTTTTGTGATCCTTTTTCAATAGAAAATATCACCGATTATATACTATTATAAATTCGCATTGTTTCTACAGCTGTAAAAATTTCTTCCAGAACAAGCAAGTCATTTCACTAAGCATCATCAACATCATTGTTCCAACTTCCGCGAAAGCGTAAAGAGAGAGAGAGAGTTGAAATAAACAGAGAAAGGAACGGAGAGATGGAAAAGGGTGATTCCAAGGGAAAGGCCGAGAGAACTAATTTCATAGTTTTAAGGGCCACTGAAATTGAGCCGGGTCATCGCTAATTGGGTGCTGTTCTGGCTAGATTGCGGTCACCTTGTTAGAAACTCTCTCTCCACGTCTTGACGTAGCTGTGAAAATATACGTATCTTCCTACAGAACGAACCTTCCTTCTCCAACGCGTGTATCCTGACATGGATATGGACTCGAAAAAAAAAAAAAAAAAGGAAAATACGACGACTCGTTAGCGAGCAACCTTTTATCCCAACGATTTTCCAATTAACGCGTTCTGTCGTGACCACCCACCTCATTCTAATTACGTCCTTTTGTTTTCGTTGCTAAAACGTTTAAATCTCCGTTTCAGAGATTTATTTGGCAAAATAATGTACGTTGCTTCGCTGTTTCCTGCACGAATGAACGGAAGTGTTTGGAAAAATTTGAAAAACTTTAACTTTCGAAAAGTAGGACGTAAAACTTGTGAATAAACGAAAAGTTTGAAATTTATTTATAATTCAATTTTACACGATTTTATATTTCATAAGTAAGTTGATTTAAATTCTTCTTCCAATAACACCTATACCATTCGACCATCCACCTATAAACCTCTCGTTCCACGATCGCGTTCGCTCGTCCAACAAACATCCCGTCGGCCCTTCCCTTAATTTAAGATCGTTCCACGGATGAAAACAAATTGGTCAGAATAGGAAAACGCTTCCTTCCACTCGATTGGTGGAAATATCCGGGAGACCTCGAAAGGGATTCCCACGCGCGGGTAAAAAGAGTATGACCAAGGGACTTCTGGAAACCGGCGATCACTGGTTTTTTTAATTAAACCGAAAGTCAGACCCCCTCGCTCGCCCCCCGCAGAGTGGAATCTCCCCCCGGACAATCGAGACGGTCGGTTTAATCACGACGTAATAATGACGGCAAATAAATTAAACTGGACCGTAACGGTGTCCGCTCCAACAGCCCCTCGAAGAAAGATCGCGTGCCGGAAACAAAAGACAGGCAGAACGATTCAATAAAGTTCGACGAAACGGGGATTCTAAACGGGAGGTATCTCGGGGGTATTAAGAGATGTTTAGGGATTTTTCGTTTCAAAAAAATTTCACATTTTACGATCCTCGAGTATCTTTCATTTATATTTAATATTTTTCCTTTTTTTTGGAATTATTCTTCTGGTTTTTATAAGTCGAAATATACGTAGAAAATTTCATTTTTATTATTTATTATTGTCGATGAGGCAGATAAAAATATATTGGAAACGTTTAATTAGAAATGTCATTTATGAGATTTTTACGTTTAAGAGATCAGATTAATTTAACAATTTTTATTCTCCAATGTTTTATTAATTTCTATCTGCTCGACAGTATTAATATGCACACAAAGTAACAGAGACATTTTCTGTACGAAAAATAAGATAAATTTCATCTCTCTGAGCGAGTCAAAAGATAAAAGCATGCAGTTGAATTAACAATTATCGCAGAAATATCACAAAATGTTATTCTTAGCTCTCACTATCTTCTGGTTGTCGAGATAGATAAACACTCATTGAAGATAAACCAGCGATAGAATCGATTGTTGGAGTATATTCCTCGTATTATCGTTGATAGTAAACTATTATGATTATTATGATTTTCGTAGAAACAGTAAACGCAGTTTTCTTTTACAAAGAGGTGCAGAAGATTTTGCAGAATCATTTCACAAACAGAGATTAAAAGATTGACGATTATCAAGTAAGTTTGAAAAGTTACCACTCTGGAATAATAATACGATTTTGGCCAAGTAACTTATCACTTAGAATTTTGCTAACTACTGACTTTCTAATTTACACAATTTTATGCATAATATATATTAATCGTTCGATCGATTTTTATTATATGAATTATATGAATATGTGTATAATAGTAAAGAAAGAATTTTAAATTGTTTTAAAATTAATAAAATATCTAATTAACAAAGTAATTAAATAATATGTTTGACAGAAATATAAAATAAACTAATAGCATTCTATCTGAAATATACTTTCGAGAAATGAATTCGTGTAATTTCTGCAATACCATTAATTCTTCGATACCGTTTCTAAATTTCTCGAAACAAGCTAATTCACCTTTGTCACCCCCCTTCCCTTGTCCCCTTTAAATAAATAAACCACTCTATTCCACGAACATTCCAAGAGAATAAAGAAAACTTTTTACGTTATCAGAAAACCAATATTTCCACCGTGTACCAAATCCCATAAATAATCCGACCAACAACCAAATCACGCAGCGAAATCACGCACACGCCTCCACACGCGTTTCGCAGATACATCATCGCAGATATATATCGCCATCTCGCCATTTCAATTCCCGCGCCCCCCAATTTCAACAAGCGTAAATTCCATGAACGTAATTGATCTCGCCTCTCGTAATTCTCAAGAAACGAAGAGCGGCCGAAGACAAATCCGGTTTACAGAGCGCCATGCGAGCGTACGTAAATAGGAGGAGGGTCGATAAACAGAACGGTCACGGGTATTTAAGCACGAGCACGCGTTCGCCGCCGCCTGTGTCGCGATATATGCACGTTCGACGAACCCTCGTACGAGCAATGCCTCGTAGATAAATCGAGTTGAAATCCCCGTTTACGGTCTCCAACATAGCCAGTCCTCGCGTGGAAAGTGCGCGAACAATTCCTCGAAAACGGAAAAATGTTGCGCGCCTGTGATATACTTCCGGCGGTGATTTGCACGCTCGCGTGTTTCATATGCCATTGCACACCGTGCTCCCCTGATATTGGACAGCCGCTGCACTTGGGTCAGGTAATGTTTGTATCGATTCCGTTCCACGTTAATTTAACCAGAGGATAATATGTAGATGATACGTGTCGTGTCGAGATCGATTAGAATTTCGAATTAAAATTTTTACAAGTTATAGAAATGGGGTAAAAATTTTGTTTTACTAATATTTTTATATTTTCTCGTAATTTGTCAGAAATATTATAGTGAGTGTTATAGTTGTCTAGTCGTGATATACAATGTGTCCAGTAAATTATAGTAATACAAATATTTTAAAGATGAATTAAGAAAAAAAAAAGTGTTAATATATTTGCGAGAAACTCTGAATCAAAATTGATACATAAAATACTAGTTGAGGCTTATTTATTAATTTGTAAGCAATTTGTGTTAGATGAAACGAAATGGAGATAGAGGATACCATAGTGTAACGAAGACAGAATACGATTATTTTTATCAATTGCATACCTTCCTAATCTAATATTCACAACTTAATACAAATATTTTATTCTTCCTAATAATAATAATAGAAAAACAGAAGTGTAAGTATTCTTGCAATTTACACGTGTCTCAAATTATAAAAGCACAAAGAAAATGTGATTAAATGTGATTATTTGTTAATAAATGTTTAGCATATATATAGAAGGAATACGATATTATATCGATTATCTTGTACGATTAGCTGATCCCTCAATTACTATAACAGCATATTTGTCACCGTGCACAAACAGAAACACGATTACATTCGCATAATCACATCCATAAGGCCAGTTCAAAGCCAGTTCGTTTCGTCGAACATGTGATATCCATGAATATGACATATCTATATCCACACACATAAATTTGGAATCATCGGTTCAACGTGAGCACGAATCTTGTCAATATTGGATCGTTACGCACAATTGTACGCATTAATTTCCAAACTTGCATGCGTACGCACGATTCTAATTCGGATATATCATCACTATTATGCGTACAAAGGGAAATCGACGAGGTATATTAGATAATCGAGAAATTTCTGACGTTACAAAAAAATGTGACGAAACAAATAGAAATTGAATCATTTTTTACGTGTACCTGCGTTCAATTGCAATAAGCTCTCGAAATATTTTTGAAAAAGGGAACAACGAAAGAACGATTAAAATTTTTCTAGTGGAAATTTCTCATTGAACAAGAGAAAAGAAATAAAAAATAACGAGCGACGAATAAAACGAATATCGAATCTCTATTCCAATATCAGTTTTCAGGAAAATGGTATTTCTCTGCTGGAATACCGATAAACGCAAGCCTGAGTAGATGTGGACAGTTTCTGGTCAGCCAAACATCTTCGAACACGTTCACGGCGAAATTCACGGCAATCAGTTATAAGAACAACATTCCAATTGCCGTCAACATCGATGGAAGCGTAAATGGGAAAGATATTGCCGCAACTTGGCAATTCCAAGGATCGAAGAGAAAATTAGGTAAATTTTTCTTTTTACTCGATAGAAATAAATAAATTATAATAGAGACCTTAATTGTAGATAATAAAACTAATATTTTCAATCACATGTTATCAGAATAATCGATTCTGTACAAAATGAAAGATGTTGGATCGATCTTTACAGAAAATTTTATCTCGTCGAAAGCGAATAAGTTTATCAATTTTATTTTATTCCCAGGGCCTTTTCGTCACGTTATAATCTCTGTCAAGTACGACACGGTTCTCGGGATGTTGGTCTGCTCCAAGGGTACGACACACCACCAGGGATACAAGTTCGTCATGATTTGGTCCCGAGAGAGGAGCCTGCCTTTGCCGATCTTCAAGGAGCTGAAGACGAAACTAGGAGCATACATTAATCAAGGGAGAATTCGGATGGTGGATCACGGGAATTGTTAAACAAACCGTGAACTTCTATGCAACACCGAGCCTCGACACACTTGGCTGATAATTTCGTTTTCGTATTTAATTAATAAACGTTGTTGAGGATTGAATTTTCTTTGAGTTGATTGGCATTAAGAAGCCATGGATCCAACGCGGATGCAAACTTGAAGAAACGGTTAATTTGAAGTAGACGAAGCAAGTGAAAAATAGATTAATTTTGAATGAGTTATAGATTAATTGAGGTAATTTTTATGAAGTGCAAATGTCGAATATGAAGTTTTTTTAATTTCTTCAATCAAACAATTTCATCGAGCTTTTCTATTCTCTTTGAAATTTCAAATAAAAATAATGAATTAGTAATTATATTCGATAAATTTCAATTCAAGTATAAACTTTTTAATAAGTTAGTTTTATAAATTTATTTAATTTAATCGAATTTTTTTATTAAAATTGTAGATACACGTTATGAATGAAATTATTTAATCGTTTTCCTATATTTCTTTCGATTGTTGATCAACAAATTTTTAAATTGTGTAACTATAAATATTGAAATTCATTCGACAATACAAATTATCTACAAAGATCATCAAATCGCATAAAGTAACTAATATAAAATATAACAAAGATATGAATAAAAAGAATAATAAAATTTCTGAAACCGTAATTTCGAGATATATTTATAGACGCCACTCCTATAGAATGAATCATTTACGAAGGGTGACGCAGAACTTACTCGTTGAGCTCATGAAATATTCGTGTAACAAGCAACCGAGCCAAGAGCATCAACACCTGCGGTCGAAATGATATCTTGAAACAGTCGGCCATACCATTGTGGCTTGAGCCTCTGCCACGAATCACCAATAAAACTGTCATAAACGATTTATTCAAATGGAAATAATAATATATCGGAGAATATCTCTTTGACCAAGAAAAAAAAAATATATACGGATAAATCTTAAAATCAAATAAATAAAAAATATTATTAGGAAACAAAAAGATTTGGAATTACGTAGAATAAAGAAAATGATGAAAGAAAATAAAAATAACCCGGTTAATTTATTTGACAAAAATTCCGATTCGAGAAGAAAAAAAAACGCAAATAACATCGTTAAATTTGCAGGAACGGGCGGGTTTACGACTGTCCACGACAACTTCGAAATATATCACCTCCCAGTTACATGCACTCCCATGCCGTTAATTGAACGTGATTACAACTATCGCTGAAACTACCCTTCTCGCATACTGGACGAGCATCGACGCCCCCAACACGACGATAAAATATCGAGCGCACGTTCATTGGAATGCGTGAGCAAACTCGAAGATCGAGTGCTTCGCGATGTTAACGTTCCAAAACCCGTCCACAACCTCGAAATCGTTCGACTATTTTCCAACTTCTCCCCCTCCTCCAACCATCTCGAAACGGTGTTTCAAAAGCGAGCCGCAGATTTTCAACACAAAACCCGGCCATAAATCCCGCGTATCACAATGACCGTGACCGTAATAAATATTGCAGGCAAACACCACCTAATGGGGAACGCCATTTCGGCGTGGACTTCGATGATATTGTTTATGGGGACTACGTACGCGATATAATGGAAATTCCGGCGTCCACCCGACTATTTATGGGGAACCGTCATGTGCTATCCATAGCCGTACATACAGACCCTACCTTCCTATGGTATATAGGCCACGTGACCATCCCATAGGGACAACTCTGTGCACCATCTCCTCCTCCACTTCCCTTCGTCTCCTCTTTTTTTCCACGGATGTTTTATACCCGTTCTCTCTCCCCCATCTATCCAGTGTTACCCTCCTTGGTTTCGTGAAATAATTATGAGCGAGTGTTGCTTGATGAGAAGTAGTAGATACGATGGTGTTTGCACTCGTGTAATTAGTATTTAGATGACATATTTGTGTGCATATGTACGTGCACAATGATACATCGATGATGAAATTTTTTTTGTAAAGTTATTGGAATTATTTAATTTGTGATAATTGATTCTGTATTATTTTGTCTTATTATATCTTTTTTTTTTCTTTTGCAGAACAATAAAGTGTAACAGTCTCGTGTAAATGAAAGAAATAGGAATATTGTTTCTGAAAATTTATCTAAAATATTGATGATACAGTTTCCGATCCCATTTGTAATTAAGTCGATTCTAAAGCCTGTAAATCATTCAAAATGACGTCATTCACGACCATTCACTATACTATTAATGGTATGTCACCCCATACGGTGTAGGTAACCGCACTTATATATACGGTATAGAGATATATGTATATATATATATAGGCCACGTGACCGCACCACAGGGACACCCATTAAACCGACCCCACGGATCATGATGTCCCATGAACATCACTTGAGGGATCCAGGATTGTCTCGTTCACAAAAGAGGCACAGGTGCCAGGGATCGTGGCTTTTTAAGAGCCACTACTACCGTTTAACTAGTCGGATATATATATATATTGCTCTCATGAACGAGTTTCATTGAAATAAATCGATAAATTATTCTAATTTTTAAATTACGTCGTTATGCCATTCTTCGTGGAAAAAAAGTTAAGTATAAAGTATTGTTTTATAGATTTAGTAATTTTATTCTAAAATTATAAATGTGTTAAATTCTACGCAACACGTGCAGGGAAAATAGTGTATTTAACAAATATTTTCCATTAGTGAAATTGAATTCTAAAATTGTTGAATCTAAAAATTTTTTTTTACAAAATTTTATTACGAGAAATTTGTATGGAGGATTTTACTATTCATTTCCAAAATTTACCAGATTAAGTTGCTTATCGAAATTTTACTGTTCTATATATGAAATTTCGATACGAATAATCGAAATCGCATTATAATGAAAGTTTATAATTCCTGCGATTAGTATCGTATCGAAAGTGCATTGTATAAATACAGCATTAATTCGTATAAATGCATATATCGAAAATATTGAAAATATTCATCGTTTCACAAATAATATTCGTAATAACGAAATAACGCGTAGGTTAATACGTATATTTTTTTTTTTTAAGAAAAATTATTACCTCGTCAAAAATAGTAACACGAAAACTGACATATTGTAAAAATAAAATTTTAACCAAAGAATATCTTCGACAAAAAAAGAAAAAGACTCTGAAACCTTTGTGAGGATGGATGTACTTCGTATCTACACGATGAAATAAACGGTGAAAGGATGACTAAACATGTCGAGGTCAGATCAAAATGCGCCAAAAAATATTTTCCACTTGGGCCTAATGCTTCCAAGAATCAGGTTTTTACTACAGGTATACAGGTTATTACTACATTCAAGAGAAACTTTATTCTTTGTTAGTCTTTATAATTTAAATAATAATATTTATTATTTCAGTGAAACACTATTGTAATCCACACACATAATTCATTGGTTGGTTCAACATAAATATAATACAATACAATTAATTAATAAAAAATGTAATTAAATTAACTCTATATTTTTCTTTATTTCTATAGAATTAATTAATTAATTAATTAGTAATATTAGTACTCATCAAAAGCTTTTGATGAAACGAGGTTTTATTAATTAGATATGATATTGTTCCGGAATATAATTATGTGAAACTTGAAAATCTTATTTAAAAAAGAAAAGTACTTATTATTCATTAACAGTTCTATATTTTAAATGATATAATCATAAGAATGATAAAAGACGAATCTCTTATGCAAAAATCAATCAAAAATATAGAATACAACCGATTTACTTTTTAAAAAAATTTGTTTCTAAAAATTTAATGAATAGAATTTAGCCAAAATATGGTTTAATGATATTTTTGAAAAAAAAAATGTCCATTATTTTTACACGTTTTCATAATTCACGTACATATATATAATATGAAAATATCTTTAATGTCACAGGAAATTTTACAAATTTAACAAATTTATCTTAAAACATTGCTTCCACCAATTTAAATTTTTCCCACGAGAATCCTGCTGTTAAAATCCTCTCACGAGGTGCGAAACATCCACAACACGTTACAAAGACATTTAATTATAAATCGTTTCTCGAATGTTAAAGGTAACCCACCTGACGTGCCGCAAATACTCTGCACACGAGATAAATTGAACTCCCTCGGGGAATATTGAAACATCCAATAATTAAATTTTACTCGTTGTGTGTAGAGCGCGCTAGTATCCTTTCCCTCTGAATACACGTGAAATATTAAATGGAAGAAACTGATATTCTTTTCAGTGGAATTTCAATTACAATATCATTAGATCTTTCCTCCATAATGTTCGACATCTCGTTATAATGGCAGATAAAAATTGAATCAAAAAAAGAAAAAAAAAAAAGAAGAAAGAATCAGAGAAGAACAGAGAAGGAAAGAAGAGGTTAGGTTAATTTGGCCAAATGTCCTCGTGATTCTCTTTCAATGGCGCCCTCTTTAATGCGAGCAGAGATAATCTCGTCGAAGAAAGAAGAGTCTTAAATATGACAGATTTATACCTCGTGTACATGCCCTTTCTTTAGGTCGTACATAAAGCTATATGTACCATTTACTGACCCTTCGAAAGCCTCTGTGAATCGAGGATGTTCGAATCTTGAGAGGCTTTCGCGGATTAGCAGATCAATTGACGTTTCTCCTCTCATTTCCGTGCAAGGTCTATATTAATACTTAGGAAGCTTTGTCGAAGTGTATTGGTGTAAGAGGGCAATATTAAGCAATTTTGACTCTTTTGTGTTTGTTTAATTAAATACAAAGAAACAAACGATGAAACGGTTCCTGAATATAATAAAATTTCTAACAAAAAATTATATAAACGAGTTATCAATCCAAAGTATTAAAAAATAGAATTTTATCAAGATTTTTTTAAGGGCTAACTTCGGAATGCTCAAAGAAGAAATGATACTTATCAATATTGAGGGCTATTTTATTTCTCAACCTCTCTTAAATCCCCAATATTAATACTCTACAATGACATAATGATTTTGATCTATTTTAATGCAGAGCAAGAATCAAAAAAATATAGATATATATAATTTAAACTTTTTAAACCACTTGTACTTATTATTAACAGATATAAAATACTTATTAATAAACATTGATCAAATAAATATCCTTTCAAATATCTATTCTC